TGCCGCAGTCAACCATGATGAAGAAAACCACCATGTGGTGGCACCAAGGGAAGGTGTATGGCAGGAGTGGAACAACTGCACCACGTAGCACCAAAATGTTTTGCACCTCTGCATGTGCTGGGGGAGCAAAACAATACACAAACCTCATTCTGGAACTGCTCCCTCCTGATTCTGCTACAGCTTCGTCCCCTCTTGATTGCAACCTCCTGTCCTGTATCGGTCACAGCACTGTAGACTTTGCCAAATGCGCCAGATCCAATTTCCATTTCAGGACTCCAGGAGCTGGTGAGCTTTTCCAGCTCTGCCAGGAGGTATGGACGAGGTGGTCGGAATCCGCCACCCTCACTTGTACCCTCGTAGCGTGCAGTCGCTGTCAACAAATTCAACAAAGATAGCCCACATAGTCAGAGATCATTTGCCACCCTGCACGCACCATCCACTATATTTTAAATGTCTGACCATCGAGGAGTCAAAGCCTCAAAGCTTGTTGCTGAGGTTTAGACTTCCGATATCCAGAGAGTTTTCTACTAATAAGTAAAAACCCTGCGCATGTATAATTTAGATATGCACTATCCTACACGCACCATCTGCTGTATGTTGAATGCCTGACATTCGAGGAGTCAAAGTCTCAAAGCCTATTAGAGTTTCGATATCCAGAGAGTTTTGTAGAAGTAACCCTGAGCATGTGCGTGTTTTAGATTTTCACCACAACAGCCCCTGTTCCATCCAGATGAGTAGGTCCAAAATCAAAGCAACTTTACCTCTATTGCAGGCAATGAAGCACACTTGAGATGAGAGAATCCAAGAAAGAAACAGTTGCACCTCTATAGCAAGCAGCATGGAGCAGAATAGGTCCATTATTTCCCTTTCTCAAGTATCTTTACTGTAGTTTTCTTTGCGTTTGCCCCTTTTATTTGTTCTTGCAGCTCCCCTTTTACTATGCCTCTCACGTACAAGGCTGTCCACGTTGATTGTGGTTGAGCGCCAGCTGCCCACATCCCACGTGCCTGAATGGCACACTTGCACGTTATGATAGGATACTTCTGTACATTTTTCTTCAAATCTTCAGCTTATATTTTGTCTGTTCTCTGAATGATGCTCATCCGTATGCATTTACTAGTAAGCACGTTACCATAGGATACTTCTGTACATTTTTCTTCAGATCTTCAGCTTATATTTTGTCTGTTCTCTTAATGATGCTCATTCGTATAACATTTACTAGTAGTACACAAGGGAAGGGAGGAAGGAAGGGGTAGGCGGTGGAGTTTTATAGGAAGCGAGAGGTGGGAGAGAGACGGTGGAGGGAAGTGTGGGGTGACAAAAAACAGAACAGAGAACAGACAAACTTCACAGGGTTCTCAATACTCACATGTGGGGCAGACTACTCTAGAATGACACGATAATTCCACCAGTGCTTGGGTTGCACGAGCTTTCAGGAGCCCTTGAGGCCTATGGCCCTATGGTAAGTGCACAACCCTACAGACCGGACAGGAGCAGTTTGGGTGTGGACTGTGGAAGCACCGCATCCAACTCTCGCAGTTGCAGTTGCTGCATTGAATGGCACGACGTAGACAGATGTAACCAGCTACGTGGCCCCCACATGCTAGGAACACAGAGGTACGTCAAACGCAATTGTATAGGCATTGTGTGTGTGTGTGTGTGTGTGTGTGTGTGTGTGTGTGTGTGTGTG